TTGCTTTGGGAAGGATAAGTGGAGCATCTAGGACAAACGTCTCTGATGCCAAGCTGATGCTGGCCTCACTTATGAGTTGGCCCTTGAGTAGTTTCCAGAAGTGGAAGGGAAGGTGGGTTCGGCGGAAGGGGTCAAAATCCTGAGCTAGTCAGCGGTAGTGGGGAGGGCAGAGAGTGGTGAGAAGAGCTAAGAAGCATTTAGTCTCCTGATTTTTTTTTTCACACCACCCTTCTCCACACAGGCAGCCGAGAGCTGGGATCTCTCTCTGGTTTCAGTGTTCTTTACACATCCCAAGGGATTTATGGGGTTATAATGCATTACTTTAAATGTTTCAAAAACGCTAATGGAAATCCTAATACATCAGTTTCTTTTTGCTTTTTGCATACCCAGTTATGGATGGGTTTGATTAATAAATTATGGGGAAATGAATTAATTATTCCATAATGATTACAGTCTCTTTGGCAGACAACAAATTTCAAGGCAAGAAGGATGGGGGAAACAATAAAGGAGGATTTTGAGGAGATAATGATTAGGCTGGAAACTGACACGGCACTGAGGTTTTCCATCTCAGAACATCTTCCAGAAGGGGACCACAGAGTATTGAGCTGCCAGGCACTGTTGTGTAGGGGGATGGGAGTGAGGGGGCAGCAGAGGAGGCGCTGTATTCTTTTGTCCTCTTCGCTACAGACTCACAGAGTCATTGGATGAGACTAAGGAACAGCTCACGTCCTCCTGCACAAGGGGACCAGACCTTCACAGCCCCTCTTTCTGTGTGCTCCACTCACTTCTATTTCAGTTTCTTTCTTCCAGGATTTTCCATTCCCCACCCATCCTTCTTGGCATCTTCCCCTGAAGCATCTCGCCCCTTGATGGCTCTCTCCTGTTCTCTGCCTTTTCTCTTCTTTTCCCTACCAAAGGCTCAGGCGTCTCTCCCACCCTACCTAGCTTTCTGCCCCAGTGAGGAGGAATATTTGTTCTTCTTGAAAATTGGGACCTCCCTCCCCCGCTCCCCCCCTTCCCCCGCTCCCGCCGCCAAGGAGACAGTAGGAAGCACTCATCCATTCCTCCTGTTTCTGACTGAGAGATCAGATGGGAGTGGTGTGGGCAGTGGGATGGGAGTGATGGGGCACGAAGGGACATGAGGTTCCCCATGGCTCAAAGAGCTGCCAAGGGCTAGTTCAGCCTGGCTTGGACTCCATGTGACAGAGAGCAGGACAGAGCTTATGCTTCTGTGCACAGGGGGGAGTGTAGAGGACATACCAGCTCTTCGGCAAATGTTCAGTTGCACACACCAAACTAATCAGGACAGAAGTTCTCATTAGTGGAGCTAGGGTCAGATCCTGGGATCTGCCAGCCCTAACAAGCTTTGTTCACTCACCTGTACTCAACGGTCCAAATAAAGACACTTAATAGCGAAAAGCACAAAAAGGAGATATACTCAATATGGCTTCATAGGAAAGATGAACAGAGAAGTCTAGTAACTCTGCCTACTGCCCATCAATTTAGTTTTTTCAGGTCCTAACATGAGTTTTAAACAGAAAGTGAGAGGTGCATTTAACTGACCAATCTCCATTAAGGCACGGTCCCATCCATCGCCATTGTCTCAGCTCCAGTCTCTTCTGCCAAAAGTCTGCCAAACTGTAAATCTCTCTCTAGGAGATGTTTCCCTTTTGATTCAACCAGGCTTCAGCCCTTTTCCTTCTTCTAGAATGAGGTTCCTGGGAAATTCCACTTCCTTGGCAATTCCAATTGTCTCAGCAGTCTGACAGCCAAAGAGATGGGCACACGTGTCTGTAGAATATCCTCATTCCTCAAGCCTCTGCCCTTTCCTTCCTGTGCACCTTCTCTTTCCAAATTGCTGGCTTCTCCATGGCCAATTCCTGCCAGCCAATAATTGGCTCCATCCCCTGATTCAAGGTATAATTCAGGAGTGTCAGAGGGCAGTCAAAGTATGCCACAGCAGACAGGCACCACAGGAATCTATTCATGCTTGCGCTTGTATTTGCACAGAGAGCTTTCTCACAAAGCAAACTTGGGCGTCTCAGACTGATAGCCAGAGGCTGTCATTCTGAGTTTCTCATCCCAGTGTCCCTGACAAAGGGAGCTTGGCTGTCACTCTTGTTTTTCTGGCTGGCCTCCATCCTTGTGTCCCTACCCTGCCAGGAAAGTTGTGGGAGTCTTGGAACAGACTATTCAACTCATAAACAGATTCAGTTATCTGCTCGTTGGCATCACTGCTTCATTTTTCTGCCAGATGATCACCATGTCTCCTGAACTGATAGAACCCAAGTGTATGCCCGATGTGGACCCAGGAGTGTCCTTCTCAGAGGATAACATGGGTCTTTGGTGCAGGAAGAAGCAGATCAAACATCTCTTTCTTTAAAGGGGGGAGCTTGTCTTTCTAGCTCCGTTACCCTTAGGGTTGGTCTTTACTCTGGCTCTTTGGGCCTTCATGCAAATAACATTTCTGAAACCATCTCAAGCACAACAGAGTCAATTTGCACCCTTAGCCGTGATAAGCTCTCCTGTTCCCACCTACTTAATTTCACTGAGAAGTGAGTTGGTTCTAGGGTGCTTTCAGACAACTGTTTGGGAGTGACCTATCTTTCCCTCTAGCATGCCCATCTCGTCCAGGCTTTGTGAGTCCCATGTGTGATAAGTCACGGGCATGTGTTTATGTGAAGACTTATGATTAGCAGCAGACTTCTCTTAACAGCTTTTTTTTTTCCAGTTTAAATTTAGATAAGAAACGAGGTTGCTTCACAAGTCAGTTCCAGGTCCCTCTCCCATTCCCTCCCCTCCTCCCGTGCCCTCCCCCCCAATCTTAACAGCTTTTTAAAATGATGTCTTACAGTCCTAGAACCATCACAAACCTGATGAGCTGACCCAAGATTTACTCCTCTTTACATTGATTTCTACAAAAGGAAGTATTACTGCCTCAGGTATCTGCCCCTTTAGGGGATTACAGAAGTCTCAAAAGGCTAATACGGGATGGCATTGGATTCTTGTGATCACGTGGGCAGGGCTTGAAGAGAGAGGAGGAAACAAGGGTGGGATGGGGTAGGGAGGGCAGGGGTTAAGCCAAGTGAGGTCGGATCTGCCTCCCTGTTGGCTCATCTCATCACTGCTCACACTGACTTTTTCTGCACCTGAATTCAGTAGCCCCTGCCTCTTGCAGACTTGATAGGTGCTCTTCACCAATAAGGGGATAATAACAATGACATCATAATCACAAGGCTCTGCCTTCCTAATAAGATTTCAGTACTATGGCATCTGGAGTGACACAGAACAGCATGGAGTCCTGCTCATTCTCTTGCACAGCACAGCCAGGTTGGTGCTTGAGGTGTGAAGGTGTGTGACTCACTTGTAGCATGATTCTGCCTCACTTCCCCTGGCCTGTGCTGATTGCTTGCTTGTATCTGCCTGAGGCTCTGTGTGGCTGGGGAGAAGCCAGGCAACCATTCCCAGAGGGAAAAGAGTACTTAATTGACAGCGTGGAGACCTGGCCTGCAAACCTGGATCTGCCACTTTCAGCTGCTTGAACTTGGCAGAATTGACTCACATGTGGGTTAACCTCTTTCTAAGATGACTAGGTCTTTGGGAATCTTTGTTCTTCAGTGTGTCACAGGCACTAATGGCAAGAGGAAGCCCATGAAATCTTATGAGGAAGGCAGAGTCCTAGACACTCTCTAGATGCACTGGGCCTGAAGCTGCATTCAAGAAGCCCCACCCCCAGACAGTTGAGGGGGTGTGGCTCCAGCCCCCATTAGCCTTTGGCCCTGATTGCCTGGGTCCTAAGGAGTCTCTGAGCTTTGTCCCTGTAGATGTGCAGCTGTGGACTGAGCTTTGCTCCAGAGGAATTTCCCCAGTTTCCACATGCCCTGTGTGTGTGTGTGTGTGTGTGTGTGTGTGTGTGTGTGTGTGTGTGTGTGTGTGTCCCTTCTCTGCTGTAGCTTTCAAAGTTAGAAACAAGATAATTGACAAAGCCCGGGAGCTCATTCTCTGTGAGCCAACATTTCCTTCTACGAAGTTCATCTAAGGGTTCGGGGATAACCCACTGGCATCTGTTATCAGAGATTGTGGGACACTTGCTCTCCCAGGCCATGGTCTGATGCTTCATCCTGTAGGAGCACATCTGTTAATTGGGGAGATGATTGGAGAGTTGAGCTAATGCCTTCTAGGCAGATCCAGCATGTGTGCACTGAGCTGTCTGCATCTTGCCATTATCAGACTAAGAGCAAGAAAAAGAAGAGTGCAAATGGCATCTGGGATTCCCTACAGCGAGGGCTTTGTGTGAGGCAGGAATCTCAGCTCTGTCTCTATTTGGTGTGAACATATGCTCTGGGCTGAGTGTGAGCCTAGTTTTTCCCTGCGAGTGCAGATGAGGCTGTTTCCGAGTGAGAGCCAGAGACTGTGTTTGGTATCCAACTTAAAAAAAAAAAAACAACAGAGACCGGTTCCATTTATGGAATTAAATAACAGCAACAGAAGTAACAATAACAACAAGAAACAAAATACCCAACGTGGTCGCATGAAGAGAAGTTGTTAGGACTCTAGCATAGTATCTTCTTAGGAACTTGGATTACTTGCCACATTTCCTACTGTGGTAATGGCAGCATCTCAGGTAAGAAGAGGTGGTCCCTCCTGGGTTTGAGGTCAGCTCCCACACACAAATCTCCAACTGGAATGAGTAACAAGGTTACAAATGAAGGAGGTCAAGGAAGGTTCTGGATAGGAGGACAATCTATCTTTTAACTGGGACGTTCTTTCATTGTGTCTTTTCATGTTTCTGAGTCCAGCCATATACGGAGAAGCTAAGCTGCTAGCGGGACCTAGAGATGCTGGAAGAATGCATGGGGTGGGGCTAACCCTGTGATCTGTGTGTTCCCTTCACTGGCCTTGTACTCAAAGTAGACTCCTGGGGTAAATAAACAGGAAGACTGCACTCTAAAGCCGAGGGTACAAGCCACCATGCAGACTCGGAGTCACATCATGCCACATAACAACATATCCATTTCTTTATTTAGGCAACTACTCCATACCATAAAAGATATGAGGCAGCTTAAAGGAAACTTGTACATTTATGGCATATTATAAATACAAAGTGCAAAATCAGACCCTGGGAAATATAAATTAGCAAAGTAAGTCAGTCTGGGTTATAAAACAGTGCATCTTTCCAATCAGCCCAGGAATGGAGGTCTTCAGTAGATACTGGGGTCAGGCTATATTGGACTACATGTAATCTGGCTAGAAATATGGTCTTCTTGAAGTTTCAAACAACACACAGACAACAGAACAGAGGCCTAGAGTGCTTGTCAAAAAATGCCAGAATGTTTCAGTCGACCTGAAGCTCAATGTGAGCAGTCCTATGGCTGGCTCCGCACCTGTGTGAGCAGTGCCAGCATGTTCGTCAGTATGGAGAGTTCTCTTGCGTGCACGTTGGCTGTGCATTCATGTTTCAGTATCCATGTTGGAATCTGCTTCTGTGTATCCTGAGTGGTGGGATGAAGAGTAGCCAGGGGCTCAGAGCCCAGTGAGTGTCAAAGGGACATGGCAGCAGTACCATATGATACACATTTATGGGAAACCCCAGATGGGTGTCTGTGCTTGATTCCAATGGGCAATTTGCAGAAAGAACTTTGGCCAGAGGTTTCCTTGGTATCTAACCCTGTAGCAGAGTGGTTCCCATAATATCCCCGCTGGTGGAACTTCGTGGCTTCTCAGTCGCTCACAAACTCCTGGGATGGTGGCGGTAGTCTTAGTGGTTTGATGCAGGGGGCCTTGGGTTATAGATAGGAATGTGGTAGTCCCAGTCCTTTGTGACTGTCCTTGTGGGTGATGTGAAAGCTTCATCGTTGTAGCGTCTGGGTCCCTCTTGGATGCTACAAAGGATGCACTGTGAAGAGAGCGCATCTGGACTTGATTCTTCTGTGTCAGACAGACCTGTGCTGGGCAAAGGTACAGAAGACTCAGTGGCCACACTTGGGTCGAAGTCCCAGTGCCCAAGTCCCTCAACACCCACAAGCTTTTCTTGGATGACTTGAAACAAATCTGAGACTTGGATTTCTTCCACCTGTCAAATGGAGGTTTCAGTCCTTTATTCTGACTTGGTAGCAGTGAAGATAAATTCAGTTGCTTACACATAAGGTGCTTATCAAATGCTGACTCTTTCAAGACAAAGGTAAAGCCTTGTCTTGGGCTTTTGATTCCACACCCTCCCCAAGTCCCAGTGGGCCGTCTTTTTTCGTTTCTCAAGACAGGGTTTCTCTGTGTAACTTTGGAGGCTGTCTTGGAACTGGCTCTGCAGATCAGGCTGGTCTCAAACTCACAGAGATCCGCCTGCCTCAGCCTCCCGAGTGCTGGGATTAAAGGCGTGTGCCACCAACGCCGGCGAGGTTCATTTTTGATTAGCACTCTCAACCTCCTTCTCTGTCCTCCACTCACCACCTCATTCAGTTTCCTGCGTAAAGAAATCCTAGGTCAGCAGGCCATTGTCCTTAATTCCCTCACCAAACACTTTGAAGACCGCTCTGCACCCAGGCCTTGTGCATCTCATCAGCCACCCCACAAAGTAGCACTTGCCTGATCTTTCCCAACTGGGTGTTGATAAAGGCTCATTGCTGAGACTATCACCTTTCCTGAGACTCCAACGTTCCCAGTGACTCTGGAACATACCATGGCCAGTCAGTCCCCTGTGCTGGCTATCATGTCTTCCTTTGTCCTCTTTGCTACCTTCATCAGGATGCCCCACTATTACTGGGAACTTTTACTTGGGCTACCCAAGCTGCATTCCCTAGCCCATCCTCTAAGTGCAGGCATGGCCCACAGCTCTGACCTGGCCTCCCATGGGAACCATCAGTGTTTTGGCCAGAGGCTTGGCTACTTTTTCATAAAGGGCCAGGTGGCCAACAGCTCAGACTTTTTAGGCTATCTGGTCTTCTGTTTGAATTATTCAACCCTTCTACTGTTCTATACAGCAGCCAGAGGTAATAAAAAAAAAGTCAAAGAACTAGCTGAGAGCCAATAAGAGGCAGGCCAGATTTGACCAGAGGCTGTACCCACCAATGCCCATTTATGTAGAAAGAGTATTAACTAATGCAGATGCACAGGGTTTCACAGTTTAGCTCCATCACTTAACTGGCTCTATCACATTGCTCAAGTGGGTTAATTACTCTGCATCTTGTCATCCTTATCTGTAAAAGGGGACCCATGATGATGATGATGATGATGATGATGAGGATGAGGAGGAGGAGGAGGAGGAGGAGGAGGAGGAGGAGTTTTTTCAAGGTAAAACAGAATAACTGCAGCACCTTGGAGTCTGGCCTGGAGTGTTAGTGTTCATCCCCATGCCTCATTTCTCCCCCAATCTCTTTAGTCTCTCCTTTCCCCCAGCCTCTTCTCCCTCTCCAATCTCATCAACAGTCGTATCTTCAACTCTGCCTCCAGCTTCATGTCTGCTCTCCCCCCCCCCTCATACAATCCATTTGTGCTTCAAACTCTCCATGCTTAAGAGAAAACACATCATTTAAATCAAACATGGCTTCTTCTGACCTCTCCTGTTCTAGGAATGGTGATACTATCTGAGCCTGTGTCACAGCCCCCACCCCTCCACCCCGGCCCCAGAGCAGGACTGGTCCCTTCTGTTAGGGTATCTCTGTGCTCCTCAACTCCCACCTTCTAGCCATCTTTTCTCTCCGAGCTTTTCTTACTAAGCACTTGCACATTCTGGGTGTTCTCTCCATCTCTCCAACTCATTTCATCCACACTGCTAAGTTACTCTTCCCAAAGAATGGTGGGATATGGCTATTCTCCAGTCTGTAACATCAACATCTCCATCCACATCAAGTACCAGGAGCCTTACTAAGTGTTAAGAGTCCTGAATGGACTGTATGGAAGACCCCTAAGTCCAATACATCTATTTAACTTACTCCCAGTTCCCTAAATTCTTTAGTCTCTGATCCTTTTTCTTTCCAGGTTAACTTCGCCTACACCATCTCTAACTGTTTACTCAGGGCCAGGCCAGACATCTGAATCCCCCTGTGGCCAGATACATGATTCTTGTTTCCAGCCAAAGGATTTGTGCTCACTCCAGCTTTCAGAGCTTATACAAGATTGGGCTTATCTCTTGGACTGCACATTCCTGTGTACTTCCGTGAAGCAGTGTGCACTTGCATTATCTCTCCCCTCAGATTAGAAATCCCTGGGGAGACTTGAGAGATGCTTGCCTGTCCACACAACCCCAGTACTGTGTCTGTTCTGGACATGGGCTTACTGAATAATTGTGGGTACCCTTTTACCCAGCTAACCTTTGAGCAGACATAGTAGCAGCATGGGCAGAAGAGAGAGGCTACCTGCTTGAGAAAGCAAATGCAGAGGAACAAGTTTCACTTTCCAGGGCTTGGGGCCATGAGCTTTGTATACTCTTTGGCCTTGATAGCAGAGTAGAGAGTGTGCTTGTTTCTGTGAGTGATAGTTTCATGATGGGTGTGTGCAAGTGTGAGGGAAGCCATGGAATGGTGTGTGATTGAACTGATGTGTCTATGAGGGAGTTACACTAGTGTGAACACTGAACATCTGAGTACAATGAGGAAGGGATGTATCTATGTGTATGTAACATATTTGTGTGTCAATATGGTGAGGGAGGCAATCTGTGTGCATGTGTGTTTAGTGTATTGCTGGGTTATAGGATATGTGTTGAAGGGGACGCTAGGGAATGACGTGTGTGTGTGTGTGTGTGTGTGTGTGTGTGTGTGTGTGTGTGTTTGTGTGTGTGTATTTGGGGTGGGAATTATCTTAGATCCTATTTGCAAACAGACAAGAGCTCCCACCTTCCTTTTCCTTGGGACTTATCTTTATAGGATATGCCCAAGGAGTTTTTTTTTTTTTAAGGGAGAGGGGAACAAACAACCTGGAAACACAGTGGACTTGAGATAAAATCAAAGCAAGGAGGTCTCGATTTGTACACAGTTTGGCTATTAAAAAAGAAGACAGTCATTTCGAATCTTTCTGGGCAGCCCCTCTTGCTTGTGGATAACTGGCACACTGCAGGCTAAGAGCGGGCAGAGCAGCCAGGCCACAGCTCTGTCCTGAATCAGAGCCAGAAGGTGAGCTCCTTAGCCCTGGGGCAGGGTGGAGCAGGTCCTATCAACCTCATCTCACCCAGTCTCCAAAGGATAGGGGAGGTGATGTGGCACTGACCTCTGAACTCAGGAATCTGCTTCTTTCCCCTGACCCCACTCTGATAGCCAAGGACTGGCTAAACAAGTTACAGTTGCCATAAATCATGAATAAAGTCGTTGATTATACTGAGGCCAAAGGTTGCAGAATGCAGGGCAATTGACAGCAATTATCTTGGAGACACAGCGCTGGCATCCGAGGAAATATTCAGTGGTGAAACTACTGAAAACCCAGTGTCCCGGATGAGTAGATTGTGTGGGGACTGGGGCTTTGTATTCCTGTCCCTCATCCTGCCTTATTCCCTTGCCCGCTCTAGGGATCTTTGACTAGCACTGCTTGATCAAAGATTCATTGTAAAGGGAAAGGCAATGACTTGTTCAAGGTCACAGGAGAGGATATAGCCCCACAGCAATCGAGCAGCTTTTGGGGCAGTAAGGCTATGCTGTTCCTCTGGACCACTCCATTGCAGGGATGGAGAGAAAGGTTGATGGTGATCTGGTGGCTTTCAAGGCCTCCCACACACAGACTGGAAAAGTGAAAGTGCTCTTAGAATGACTTGTGCTCCAGGGAGAAGACACTAGGTAGCTCTCAAATCTGAAAATCCAACTGAGCCTGAGTGAAAGCCTGGCTGTGTCCATTCTCATTGCTATTCATAACGTGAATTGATCATGCTGGGAATGCTGCATAATGGTACAACACTTGCGTAGCATGCAGGAGGTCCTGGTTTCTGCCCCAGCACTACAGAGGCAGAATTGGTCATAATCTTTCAAGGGTGTCTATCTGAAAGGAAGGTTCTCCCACTGTCCACCGTCCTGTGTCAGCTATCAACAATGACAGAGGCTGAGTGCCCTTTGTGTTGCTTAACCACTACGGAGGTCAAGGTCAACACTAATTATTCTATCTCCTATCTCTACAGACTTAGAGACAGGTACGGAGAAGGGAGGTAACATTCCCTAGGTCACACAGATAGGAAGGAACAAAACAAGATTCAAGGCAGATGGTGTAGTACTTCACCCCTACCCTGGTTATTGAACTAAATTTTTAAAAATAAATTTGAGGGGTTGGAGAGATGGTTTAGCGGTTAAGAGCACAGACTGCTCTTCCAGAGGACCTGGGCTCAATTCCCAGCACACATGAAACTAATAACTGTACCTCGAAGATCTGACATTCTCACACAGACATACATGTAGGCAAAACACCAATGTACATAACATAAAAATAAATTATTTCAAAAAATGAATTTGAAACTACATTATTTGCTTAGTTTGTGTGTGCGTGTGCTCGTGCACATGCGCATATGTTAAAACACGCCATGGTGCAGATGTCAAGATCACAGGATAACTTATAAGAGTCCGTATTCTCCTTTTCCCAGTCTCTGGGGCTGACCTCGTGTCATGGGACTTACAGCAGGTGTTTTTTCTTAGGGAGCCATGTCACTGGCCTGGAACTATTGAGCTTCTGTTGGATGCAAGACAATGAGCCTAATGCTGGATATGTCAAAACTAATACTAATTCTTATCACCCTGTGTGCTGGGGCAAGGGTGACCTTTTGGAGACAGATTCAGTTGAATCAAGACAAATCCCTGCTTATAAAAAAATCCAGCAATACCTTATTTTGATTCAAGGAATGGCCAACAGGCTTAAGAAGGCCCTTCTAGACTAGGCCTTTGTCTGCTGCAAGCCTCCACCTCCTCAGCCCTTGCTCTTCGTCCTTCTGTCTTCTTGCTCCCTTTAGAACAGTGCCCAGTCCATCCCTCTCCTGAAAGACTTTCTAACCACATCCCCCGTTCCTGGGTGCTCGGCCTGCTACCACTTCTGAGAAGCCTGTGACTCCACCTTCCAGGTTCGTTTCCCTGTTGGATGCTCACTTCCTTCCTAGTCCTCGGCTTACTTTGTTACTGCACTGTTGTTAGTTTGACTGTGTGGTTAATGCCTGTGTCTCTCCCCCAACAGTGAACTCCCCAACCTGATCTTTCCAGCACCTCTGGTACTTTACCCCAGTGCCTGACTCAGTCCCAGGCTACAACAGGCATACTGGAGCCTTCCTCTCTCTGAAACTTCGTGATATGAATGAAGTATGAACTGATTCTTAGCACAGCCAACTCCGAGGGACAACCAGGAATACCAAGTTCAGATTCCAGGTGGGCTTACTCACCCGGGCTACATGTTTGACAACAACATTTAACATTCATGTGAACTCAATCACTTGCAAAAAGCCATTCCTGCCTTACCACTTTCTGGCCTACTTAGTGAGAGTAGAAAATAGTAACCTCATCTCTAAGGTTCAAAACGCAGAGGATCAGCACGTGATGCTCTCTAGCAAGGGTCACCCAGCTCAGGGCGTGGAAGCCTGGTGTGGGTCCTGTGGGGTTCTGATGTCTCATTTCTCTCCTCATCTACCTTGCACTTAACATACTGCTCTATTCCCACAGCTCTGGGACCAAATGGAGACTCCAATAAAAGATTGAATTGTTATTTCCTTCCTCCATCTCAGCAAGAACCTTTGCTCCCTTTCCTCCTAATCAAAAGGGAGTGTCGAGCTGCACACACCTGCAGGTCCCAACCCACCTGGGAAGGAGGGTGAGAGATCAAACTGACCAGTGTTCCCATTTCTATCCCCTGGGAAGGGCTGCCATCTAACTCTGGCTTGTGTGGTCCAGCCCAGTGTTATCTTTTGGCTTCACCTCCATGTCAGAATCTTATAGGTAGCTCTTATATTGTTCTATGCAGTCAACTGAGCCATCTCCCTGGCTGTGACATGTGATTGGGCCCATGAAAACTCAAAGCCAGTTCCTAGACCTCTGAGGCTGGTCTGGGTACACGTGTTGGATGTGTTAGTCTTTGTGAGGAGCAGGGCAGGGGCACTTCTGAGGGAAGCAGGCTCTGTCCCAACTGTTGGGTGCAGGAAGGAAGCAATAGAGTAAGACCATTCTGGATGGTTCTGCTCTGCTTGCTCCCACACAGCCCAGCTCACACCCCTCCAGGAATGCAATGCCATTAGCAGCTACCTGGGAACTTTCCATACTTTCCTCATGCTAGAGCCACCCCCTCACCCCTCCGTAAGTGGAGAGTCAAGATGGGCTCTTTTCTCCCATGTTCTATACTGAAGGGATAATTCTCTCTGTCTCTGTCTCTGTCTCTGTCTGTGTCTCTGTCTGTGTCTCTCTCTCTGTCTCTCTTTCTGTCTCTCTCTCTCTCCCCCCCTCTGTGTGTGTGTGTGTGTGTGTGTGTGTGTGTGTGTGTGTGAAGAGGAATCATGGAAGCCTACTAGAGGAAGAAGGAGTGTAGAGAAAATGATCCCTAAAGAGAAGGCATCCATTCTACGTTGTCCTGTCTCGTCCACCACAACACTGACCTAAGCCTAGATTTACAGAATCCTCATCTGAGGATCAGTCATCCACCCACTTGTCCATGCAGTCCTGGCCTGGTCCCTACCTGTCTGAGCCTCTCTCACCACCTTGCTAGTCAGGTGCACTCACCTGGTCCCAGTGGGGCATTCCTGGGGCGGGGATGGGGGCTTCATGTCCAGGTGGCCCCAGGTTCATAGCTGCATATGCCACCTGCATCTCTCCTGTCCATGGCCACACTAAAAGTCCAGCTTCTCAAGAGGCACCTCGATATTGAAGGAATACCAGGCAAGCCAGAACAACAGGCTCAGGGCCAGCACCAGAGCCCCTGTGTAGACCAAGAAGTCCCAGTAGTTTAGTGTGGCAAAGATCCCCAGCAGCAAAAGGATCAGGCCCACAGCGTCGCTCAAAAGAGCCACAATGAGGAAAAATACACAGCGCCCCAGATGGCATCTTGTACAAGGTCTGCCCAGGAGCATTGCCCAGGAGCAGCGGGAGGAGCCCAGCTGTGCTCCTGGGGGTGATTTGCATGGGAAGTGGCAGTCCTGTGCTGTCTCTCCCTCTGGGTGTGAGCAAATGCGTGAGCTGGTGCGTCTTGGAACAAGAAGGAAGTCCACGTGGGTCCACCTTTATGAGCCTGGCAGCCAGTGGGGCAGGATATTTCTTAACTGTTTCACGGTTCAGGAATGATCCCAACCCAAACAATGTGACATCACTGCTCACTGGACTGGGCATTGCTGGGATCAGCAAGGCTATGTGGTTGAGAAGCATGCCTCAGGTGGATTTGCAGTCAGAGGTCCTGTGACCCTGGAAGAGACTGCCTTTCTTGTTCTCTGATGTGAGAGCCAGACAGCTTGAAGGCCCTGAACACCTGAGACTGTTGTCCACAACTACTGTGGTAGTGCAGGGTTTTCCTCCTCCCATGCTTTCTGCCCTACTCTTCCTGGTGGGAAAATGAGGGATTTAAGAATTAATATATTTGTTCTTTGTTCATGTGTTGGTTTTATTTGTTTGTTTTTGTTTTTGAGACAGAGTTTCTCTGTGTAGTTTTGGCTCTGTAAACCAGGTTAGTAGCCTAGAACTCACAGAGATCCACCTGCCTCTGCGTCCTGTGTGCTGTGATTAGAGACATGTGCCACCACTCCAGCATGTGTTTATAATGCATTCTACATTCTCTCATCCCCTACCTCTGCTATCTCCCACTCCTGCCACCCCTCCTCCATGTGGACAACAGTCTGTCAACATGTGTAGCTTTTGAAATGCTACTGTAAGAGTTGCTTGTTCAGTATCAGCCCGTGTTGTGTTTGCCTTGAAGATTCTCCACTCAAGTTCCCTAAGATGACGGGCAGGAAAGATAAAAGCAGATGGGGGGGGGCGGGGAGACAGGGAGAGGATAGGTTGAGAAGGCCTTCTTGTTTCTGTATATATCGTATTCAGTATGGGTCAAATGCATGTCCCAGGAATGAGGCCAGAGGTCTTCGAATGCTCCAGCGACTGTTTTCCACAGCAACCAGCTTTTTGCTTGTTTCATCTCGTGTGATGGATGATGCTGATCTGCCCATGTAGAAACTGTGGACATCCCTGAGGAGATACGGATGCAGCAGGTAAGTTTATCATGATGACTATTAACAAGATGGGCAAACAGAGCATCACAGGAGAAAAATGTGTTGCAACCCCCTCAGCAGAGCTACACAAGTGGGCATTTCTCTGTCCACATTCTGGACGAAGCCTCAGATGAGATACAAACCCTTCCTGAGCTTTGGTTTCCTCAGGTAGATGAAGTAAATAATTTCTATCCCCCATCTTCCCCAAAGAATGAGAATAAGCAGGAGGTTTCCATTTAACTCACCTAGTTTCCTACGTATAAAATAAGCTTTAAAGGGAGAGCGACTTGCAGGAAATGTGTTGGGGTGGGAGAGTGGAGGCACAACACAAGCCAGAGGTTTCAGGATCCAAAGCACCTTAAGATTTGACCCAAGCCATATAGCCAAGTTGGAGCATTTCAAAGACAGAAGTGTCTGAGGTCTACCTCTGGGCCAGTATTTCATCCCTCTTCTTGTATCCTCAGGACTTTCACCCATGTGGAATGCCTCCTTGCTGGGGAAGTCAAGGTTCTTCCAATTTGTTACCCAACTTTGACTATGAGCTTCGTGAGAAGATTGGTGAGCAGTGATGACAAGTAGAATCCCCCGCTGTGACTGTGGCTGTGGCTGTGCATGGCATGGCTGACTCCTTCTGGACAGTCTAGCTGTATAGAGGTTGCAAACCCTGACTTATTTACAAACAGAAGGAGCAGAATTGAAGACACTGCACTGACTATTTGGGAATCCAGACATCAGTAGCATCGATTGGTTGGTAATCACTGTGCAGATTCAGAGCTATCCCTTTCCTTACTCCCAGGAGTAGGTTGCATTGTCTTCCTGGTTCTGCATCTTGTCACTCTCTCCTTACTGCCATGGCCACATTGCATATGGCTAACTGTAGGCTCCCGTGGACTGGCCAGGCCACCAGAAGCCCCTCTACGTTGCCTGAGTGGCTTCTCTGTCCTGTTACCTGATGTGCCTCTACTGTGTGCTAAGTCAGTATAGTTATTCACACAGCTAGGAGAGACTGATGGGGTACTTGATGAAAAGCTGGGAGAGTGAGAGCAAGAGAGAAGGGCGGGTTGGAAAGAGGAGGCAGAAGTCAAGAGGAGGCAGAGAGTGGTGAAAGCAATGGAAAATGCTTGGGGTCCCCACCCTGGATCTGGGACAACTCATTAGAAAGAAGTGCTCACCTGACCCAACCAAGAGCAGCTGGTGGCACCCTGTGTTAGCAAAGACACTACATCTCTGCCCCCTGAGATGCATGCCCACCACTGATGCATCAACAAATAAGACCAACTTAGTGGCTTAAACAACAGACATGTGTTGTTTCCCAGGTTGGAGACTGAAAGTCTGTGAACAAGTGTTGGCAGGGGTGGCTCCTCTGATGGCTCCAAGGAGAAGCTGTTCCCTCCTCTCATGGTTTCTGTGGACGGGTAACCTCTCCACTGTTCCTGGGAGGAGGCATCATGCTGACCTCTGCTTTCATCTTGGCATTGTCCCTGTGCATATGTGTCTGTGGATTGGTGGTAACTCAACTTGAGTTTAATCTCATCTTTATTAACTATGTCTCCAAGGGCTGCATTTCCGAATGTGGTCATGTTCTGAGATTCTTGGGCTTAATACTTCATTGTATGAAGCTGGCAGACATGATTTTAATTCATAGCTTAGAAAAACAGTCAGAAGATCTGTTTGGATAGTCTCCAATGTCCAGCTGTGATACAGGAAGACCATGCAGACCTCCAAACCTATTCCTCAGAGACACGAGTAATTATAAAATGTCAGTACTCCATCAAAGGTGATCTATCATATCACTAGGAGGAAGAGAGTGCAAGCCCTAAAGATGCTGAGAATTGACTTGTTGTCCTGGCTTCACTGAAAGAAAGTCTAAGAAGGAGGCCTCACCTTGCCTGGGTTCATTCAGTCTGGCCACTCTTTCCATCACCAAGCCAAAAAGAACATAGCCCATGAATAGATAACCCCATATGACCCCCATGTATGTACAGCCTTGAGATGAAACACATTTTTTCTAGGCATTGTGGAACACACCTGCAATCCCAGCTCCCAAGAGGCTTAGGCAAGAGAATCATACATTCAAGTTCAATCTGGGATAAATAATGAGATCCTGCCTCAGAAAATTAAAGTAAAAAAATGCTTTAAATTAAAAACAAAATTTAAACACATTATTATTAAAAATTGATCACTCCCTAAGTGTGGAGGATCAAATATGAACCTTATGGCACAGTTAATACACATTAGCTAATATTTAAGAAATACATGAATTGGTAATCTCAAATGGTGAATAAATGCAGTGGGATAAACTTAAAACCAGGGAAAGATAGTGTGGGTAGCTGTTACACTGTGCGGCAGGTCTGCTTTCTGCACCATGAACTTAATGTGTATGGCAGGCATAGCTAGTATCCAGCCTCTACCCATCCTCCAGGCTTGGCCATCTAAAATCCCTCTGTCTTCAGTTTCTTAGGCTTCTCAAGGCTTAGTCTCTCCTGTGGTTCAGAGGACTTTGTCTTCTTGCTCTTGCCTCAGAACCCTGCCCTTTCCCAATAGTGGAGACTTTTGTCCTTTGACAAAGCCACCATCACCTGACATCACCCAGTGATGTCACAGAATGACTGCCTCTCCATGACCTTAGATCCTAATAGGCATTTGAGGCTGAGGTAGGGATGGGCCAGCCATGTACTCAGCTGATCCTGCATCACAGTTTCCAGACCTGACTCTGTGAATGACCAAGCCCCAGTCACCTCCTGGGTGGGGCTGGCCCTGCTATCCTGTTCATTAGGCCTCCCTGCCTTGTCACAGTTCAGGACCTTGCAGGGTGCCTGGGTGCCACTTACTGGCTGTTGGACAGTGAGCAAGTCACTCACCCTTTCTTTCTCTGATCCTCCTTTTGATCCCCATTTCACAAGGTTATTGCAAAGATTAAGCTCATAGTTGTGAACTCAAGAGCACCCACTGTAAACCTTGTCACATAGATCTCCACAGTCTTTCAGCCTTGATGCTTCCAGAAGGAGAAAGGAACTATCTTTAGCCACTTCTCACGCCCCTCCTGTCTGGGTGCTGGATCACGGGTGTGTATCAACAAGCCATCCTTAACCCTTTCACACCAGCCTCCTAGCCCCATCCCTACTAAGTCCATCAGGACACACCAAGCCCTCTTTCCATCTCTGGGGTAAACACAAATCCCAGGCTCATAACATCCCCTTCCTCGGCCCTTCACGCACTTCCATTTTGCTTCCCTTACCAACATGGCTCTCTGTGGTCGTCATCCTCATCCCTTGACTTTCCTCATTCCCTCAGTTTGGGCTCACCAAGCCCCAGTTACACAGGTGTCGTAGATGTACCTACTTCTACTTATCAGACAGCAGTAGTATATCTATTTGTCAATGCTATATGTTTTGACTTTTCATTAAATTACTTTTAAATATTTCAATTAATGTCACTGAAAAACTCATATTACCTGTAATAGAGAGCATTTAAGTGCCCACGCGTGCATGCGCATACACATAGCTGTGCAATTAAGATAGATTGGGGTCTTCAAAATTTTTTTGTACTAGATCAGACAGTAATGGGTTTTGTGGGTCAGCCATGCTACACACTGTAGTCACTATTACAGCCATTCAAATCTGACCATAGATGATATTAAAGTAAATGGGTGTGTCTGTGTTCCAATAAAGATTTATTTATAAAAGTAGGCCGTGGGCTGTGTTGACTCTTAAACTAGACATTGCTGGTAAATGAAGGTGATGAATCTGAGTCCTATTCTCTCAAATAAAGGCCCAAGATACACAAATTTAAAAGGTATTTAAACATGTTAGTACCAATCAGATGCTGTCCTGAAAGTCATAGGAAAGACTGAATGAAAATGGAAGTGCCAATGCCTTTCAATGTGAGCCTGCACACTAGCACATGGCCCAGGGGACAGCAACCGATCAATGATATGAGATCAATCTTCATTTACTTCTCCTTTTCCCAGGCTGAGACTGAGGGTCAGTAT